TGTGTATCCTGCTGATCCCACACCATCACCATGCCTTGATTATGATCTTTATTCTGATGGTTCTAGAAAAAAATAGCTATACAACCTACTTCGTCCAGACCCCTTGGTCAAGATGTAGTGGAGCTTTCTGCACCATGGGTCTCCCAATGAGACTAGCTATACAACCTACTTCGTCCATTACAGATTTTCTTCATCCGAATTCCTCAGCGAATTCCTCAGCTTTACACATTCCCTCTACCTGTGATATTATTAGTCAGGCTTCTAAATTTCTACAGTTCATTTACTAAAACACCAGGACTGTCTATTATTTCCGACCTGATAGCGTTTGTGCGTTTTGTTTGATGTCGAAATAATGGCAGACCCCTTGGTCAAGATGTAGTGGGGCTTTCTGCACCATGGGTCTCCCAATGAGATTATCTGAGTTATCGTCACCAGAAAGAGCATCTTGTGGGTGTCGTCTGAGCATGATGCTGGTAGGATGATACACCAGTGAAGCTTTGCGATGGATACCAACCGCCATCCAATGAATCAGATAGACAGACAGGTCGGAATTCTTGATCAAGTTACCACTAAAATGAGTCGTCATCTTAGGCACCCCACGAGGAACGCAGAAACAAAGCCAGGCAGGGGCGGTGTATGGGTGAAAGACCAATGGATGCAAAATTTTAAACGAATTTTCAAATCCCCACTTGAATGCAGACTAAGTACTATTCTCTCGGTCAAAGGTTGAAGGTCAATCGGTGGTGGCGGTGTATGGGTGAAAGACCAATGGATGCAAAATTTTAAACGAATTTTCAAATCCCCACTTGAATGCAGACTAAGTACTATTCTCTCGGTCAAAGGTTGAAGGTCAATCGGAATATCTGATTATCTGGCTGTCAATTTTGGGTCACTACGTTTGTACCCTTCTGGAAATTCACAAGTGCTAAGACTGAGTTTATCGTTATCTCTGAGTAATACTAAACCACCTGAAAATTTACACCTTTCTCAGATAAATTTTGTAAGATTCTGGTAGAAAATACAGGTCATAAGGTGTGCAATTGACCTCGGGACGGTAAGGGGACATGCAATCTTCGGAGAATCTGCGACGCAGAAGTGGTGAAAAATTCCAAATAACTATGCGGTGACGTTAAATAGTGCAATGTGCGAGTCTTTTGATGCCCTGGATTGCACGAACAGGCTGAAGCCACTACTCTGGGACCCTTATAAGTAGACTGATACCAATATTGTCGTGAGAAATCGTGTGCATGGTCATGATTCTTGGACAACAGGTTGGCGTAGATTCCAAGGCTGTGTATTGGGTTCCGAATAAGACTGCTTTCCTGATGGATCATAATAATTTTGTCCGTTAGTTTGTTAGTTTTGTTCATCAAAAATCAAAGACAGCCTCTGCTGGCTGAAACACCAGCATTAGGAAGCTAGTCATGCGAAATTCGTTCTTTTATCCTCAAAATTCACTTTCAAAGTCATGTACCCGTCATATACAAACCTGAATATAACTACATCTGCAAATTTTCCCAGACGCACAACCTTAATAAACAGCATGCAATAAAGGCAAATTCAATTATTTACACACATAAAGCAGACCTTTACTTGACACATGATTAAGTCGCGAAAATATAATAGGGGTTCCGTGATTTGAATAGATCACAAGTGACTGCTATTCAGCATAGTAAATTGAACGAACTAACCTGTTTTACTTTAGGATATTTCTGATGCTAGTGGGAGGTTTCAACTGGTTTGTCAAGTCTCTGGTAAATTTTTCAAGCTGTTTGAAAATCCATGCAAAATCCATGTAGTTCACAATACATTTTTTTTCCAAATCTGAAAACCTTCCGAGAATTAGCCTGTATAACTCGTATGCTTTTTGTGATGGGAAAAAAACCCAGGCTCCCGGAATTTTCCTCCCGACGGCAGTTCCGTCAGCACTGAAAACTATCAATGTTATCAACGTTGTTGTTCAACTGGACATTTTGTCTCCTACAAAACCTTACGAGGCGTACAGTTAACAAATTTCATAGCTTGTTCCATAGATCTTCAGGCCATAAAAGACAATGACCCAGACTGTGCAACGCCGTGGGACTTAATATGCATTACTCATTAAAATTCAAGTGTGAAACTGGGTAGCCTGAGAAGTGTCTGTAAACTCCTGGTTCGTTAACTGGCTACAGATCGCGTATGGAACGCTTTCAAACAATAGCTTTCTCGAAAAGGTAACTCCGCATCAAAGGAATATTTTGGTATCGCCCTATCATGGTTACGAAACTGCACTTGGGAAAACAATGAAGATTCAACAAAGTGGCTGGATTGACGCTACCCAACTCCATACGTTTTTCATAGAGCGATTTCTCCAGCTGTTCTTCGATTTTCTGCAAGAGTTTCATGGCAAAACTCTCTGAACAAGCAACGGACGCAACGAACCATTCTTCAACCATTTCTTGAGATTGAAAAGCAAAATCTACCAAGCAGTTATTCATTGAAGTCTGTCAAACACTATACGCATGCAATGAAAGTTGGCGGAAAGAAATTTCCTACTGTGCAAACACCTTATTATTCCCATCGAAAGTACCCAACGATATCGCAAGATGGTCTGTCGTTCAAAACAGTTCACCGTTTTCTCCTCTGGTACTGCGACCTTAAGGAATCTACAAAAGTGACATTTTGTGCCAACCGGTCTTTTCTGCGGGAGAATCCTTCAAAAGACTGCTGTTGAGATAATATTAAGCCGTCATTTTGATTATTGATTCTACCGCTTTAGACGTTATGGCCGCATTCTAGGACGAAATGCTTGAAAATAACCAAAAACTACTCCATTTGGTGATAGTGTGGCAAATGATTAGCCCAATGTTGAACTTTTGTAATCAGCTGGATACAGGACACGAGATGTGTGAAGAAATGTTGTTCGGAACCTTTGCCCCGTTTTAGAGCGAGCGTACTGGTGTTTGTTACTTTTATTGTAAGCAGGAACCAAATGTTTTTATAATACAACAACATTACATTTCAAGTTTCCGAATTAGTACATTTTACTCGGTTCTTTTTCTCTATGAAAGTGGAGAATTGAACAGCGATATCCAATATATTTTTTGACAGCGTTCTTTCCATTAAAATGCAAACACGATACCACATCAGACTGAATCGGGAAGAAGTCACACAATAGGACAGTACCATTAGCATAAGTCGTTGTGTAAAATTCAGACCTGATCATAGTGGGAATGGACAGGAAGTAAACACTACGAACCGGTCGAACTTCGTTAGAAGACTGTCGATAGTTTTGAGTCTAATCCGTATATCAAAACTGATTAAACAGCGATTTCCGCTCCAGAGGATCTCACAGAATTTTTATGCAGTTTCACTACGAACCGAACTTCGTTAGAAGACTGTCGATAGTTTTGAGTCTAATCCGTATATCAAAACTGATTAAACAGCGATTTCCGCTCCAGCCAGACTCACAGAATTTTTATGCAGTTTAAATTTAATCTTTGCCTGAAGGACCAATATTTGAGGCTTGCATGGCGGAAATATCGACCAAAAGTAACGGAGCCAAAGGATGGGATAAGCAAAGCAAGATAATCCACTTTTTCTCAAGTTCATTCTACTTGACACAGAAGTGCATTCTCAGATTCAGCTCATCATAACCACCACCATTTCTCAACGATCTAAATGAGCAAACCTAACATCCAACCGGCCCGCTGAACTGGCCTGTGCAAATAAAGAATGAATATCTGGGGCAGAGAGCAAGGAATGGTTTTCAATGTTCATTCTTCCACGAGGAAAAATCCCCATAGGAAAGGTATGCTGGAATCGCCCAAATTGTTTTTGACGCCAGCGCGGTAAAACTGATACATGTGGTGTAATTTGAGCATTCATTGTTTAGAGTCACAGATATGTTCATGTCAGGTCAGATGTTATTATTAGTACGCCTCTGACAAACACTGTGCTGCGTTCCCTCCGCACTTCACCCCTCATGATCATTACCTAATACCTGTCTGTTTTTACATTTAATTTCATCGGCTTGGAAACTCAGATCCTGGTTTCTTTGTTTCCGACGCTCTAGCAGAATTTTGACATTATTGCCTTTAGTCTGTCTGAGCACCACGTGACCAGAGCTAGCTATAAAGCTGACTATAGCCTAGATATTAGACAGATTTATGGCCATTTGCTCTCCAGTAGTCCCCAATGTAAATTGAAATGAACCAACAGTATACGGGTTACAAGAGTTCAGTAGTGGTTACATGGCAAATTAGAACATGTTGCAGGTAACGTATCTAGACCTGTTCGTAAAAGGTAGGATTCCACTTCACTGAGTGACATCCTCGGGAATTCTACTGTATTCTTATTGGGAATAAACAGTAAGTTACATTAATCACACTAATTTATCCATCAAGAGAAACCATCAAAGCGAAGGAGGTAGTTGATTGTTCTGTCATGGGAGATTTCTAGGGTATGTGGCTCAGATCTTCAAACGGAGTGGACTGTCTTCGGCAGATCTTATTTATAAAGGATTTCTAGTGCCACAGGTATCACGGCATCTTCGTGCCGCTTTTCGCTTAATCCAGCCATCCGGATATTTCCATATCATCCATTTAGTTTAGGTGGATCTGAACAGAACACATGGTCATTACACAACAGATACGGAATACTAAGACGTCACTTTTGCTGTGGTGTAGAGAGGTAGCACTGGATAATCGGCCTTAGGAGACCTAATTTTGGCACTGTTCGGTAAAAACCTGAGTATATTACTATCTATTTGCTGTGGCTCTGGTGATTTCGTTCGTGAGGGTTTTTAATGAATTTTATCCACAAATATCTTGTGTCTCCCGTGCTGTTCAGTTCTTTTCCCATTCTCGCCCCTCAACATCAATGTGGTTGGTGCCTTTTCAGATCGGTGAGATATTAAAATTGTTTCGCAGATAGATGATTTGAATCCTGGAAAGACTCATCCAACTGGAACGAGAGTAGTTACCAAATTGTGTTGCTTTGTCATGAAATGGCCTCGGTAGTCGACCACGTGACTGATTGTCTAACCGGTAAGATCAGGTGCTTGCCTTAAGAAATAGTCTGTTGGCCACTGCCGCTATGAATTTCGTAGTAACTTACCTTCCCAACCAGGCTAAGAACATTGGGCATCTCACGAGACGGCTTTCGCACACTGAATATACACTGCTTTGTGAATGAAGTGGTGAGCCATTTCGGCCGCCCAAGGGACGCTGCTATTCTGTCAGTCAAAACCAGTCTTGGAGGATAACTGTATACTTTCAATGAGAAACAGTTTAGAAGGCTATGTAAAGTGGCTGTATAGCATATAAGCAAATGCCACCTTACAACAGGTATGCATTGGTAGTGGCCACTTTTCGTTGTAATTTTGCAGTCGCTCTGTCCAGAAAACATCAGACAGATCGATCGAAAACGGTGTAGTCTGCGGCGCGGTCTCCGAGAAATACATAGTCTTTTGACAAAACGGTAGCTCTTCTGATTAGCATAATTGGCCTTATGCATCAAGTCACACGCTGCTTCTGACAACATTAATCTTAACATCCATCATCCCTACTCACAGTAGTGGTTGGCAAACCCCTGGGGAGTTTACATTTGTCCTGGCATTTCTGGTCACTTTCACTTCCTGTAAGCCCACATTAGGCCAGACTTGCAATCCGTATCTTCAATCATCCATTCAGCTGTGGTCACGGAATCTCGCGAACAAATGAAAAAACGGCCATCCGGAAGCGGTTGCTGGCGCGTACACTCGGTTTGCATTCACTTCTCAAGATCTGCCAACTGAAAGTGTGTAATCCACTGGCTTTGCTTCGTTAATACAGCCACATCGTCACGTGATGTTGGGGCACCAGAGTAAGCGTCGGAGCAAAAGCGTGATGCATGAATATATTTGTGATAATTAGGGTAGGATTTCGATCGAACGCGGAAATCAAGCAGAAGTCGTAACACGTGATCAGAGCTGGAAACGGTCTACTGTTTGGCAGCCGTAATTTCGGGACAGTTACAAGTCATTCAAGGCGGAAAAGTCATTTGAGCTAAACAGTGTTTGGTGTGCTCACCAACAGTAGAATTTTTCAACCATATACACTGCTTTCCTTCTTCAAAAAAAATCGCTCTACAGAATTAAGTTTGAAGGAACCAATGGTAAGATGAAGAATTTGTTGTTACTTACCCCAATAAGCGGTAAAATCTTATCTCCGATTGCTGCAAAAGTGTTTTAACGAGGGTTGTTCAGTTTATACTTATGGACTCGTCCCAGCAACCCGGGACTAGGTAATCCACATAATGCTATTCCATTTCGTTTTATGGGGGCGAGATTGTCCAAGTGGTTAGAGCGCAAGAGTGTCGAGGGTTGTTCAGTTTATACTTATGGACTCGTCCCAGCAACCCGGGACTAGGTAATCCACATAATGCTATTCCATTTCGTTTCGTGGGGGCGAGATTGTCCAAGTGGTTAGAGCGCGAATTTACTGACCGGAAGGTCTGTGGTTCAAACCCGACATCTGCCTCTCGACTTCCCCTGTATAGGCTTGGGCAACCTGGCAGTATCCCAGCCCTCGTGCTTCCTTCGGGTAGCATAGCAGTTAGGCATCGAAAGGGTGCTACAGCTGAACGATTCTATTTCGTTTGACAGATTTTGAACACCAGCTTTAATTTTAACAATCTACCTAAAAATCTCGCGCGGCTCCCATCGATTTCGATACTAACAGCAGAGCGGTGGAGTCAATGATTAAGATATCCTACTGTGATTAAAACCGAATAACTTTTCTGTAGTTGGACTGAGTGCCCTGTAGTCCTGTCACTGGACAGGATCGTTTGTCCATATATTCCCCGGGGTCAGTTAATTAAGCGGTACATAGAATGCGAGCAAAATTTGACTACTTATGGCCCGCCAGGATATTTGAGTGGGCATCGTTAATCTCATTCACCACTGTGTCTTGAAATGCTTTCATGGTGCGAACGCAAGCTAGCATTTCTGGCCTCGGTTTGATGCTGTTAAACGATATCACTTTTGCGGAAGGTGGGTTGATTGAACTATGTAGAACTCATTGGGGTAGGTGAGAAATTTGCTATCAAATGTGAGTGCTAGAGAGTTTACAATGGTTCCATGTAGCACTGCATAGTTCTCGAGCGTTTCAGTTACACACTGCTGCTGATAGATGTGTGTCATATCGTTGGCAGACCATAATTATGGACCCTCCACCGACCCATTCTTATGGCTTAAGAACATCATTACAGTCGTACAAACGGGTAGTCTCACACAACTTGTTTCAGAGTATATACGCATCGTTCAGCTGGCCAGTGAGAGCCGTGTAACTAACACTTAAATTTCCATCTTAGTTTTGCTCGAGGTCAACGATGTTTGATGGAACGCTACTAGAAAATGTGAAGTGTCAGACCATCACGATGAGGTCAGTAGTTCAATTTATTCATGTAACGTATTATTCTGCGGATCTTGATCAGAATCACGCACACATTTATTCGGACAGTGTGAAGAAATAGGTCAGCTGTTTTCACCACTGCGTCATTTAATACCGAAGTGCCTAACAAAATATTTGCACACCTGAGTTTGGTGCAGCCTAATCAAAAAGACCACTTTGTTCATTTCGAATTTCTCACAGCCTATTGTAGCGAATCTCCTAGTTTTCGCATGGCATCGTTTGGGCAGGTGCTTGACTAGTGGAAACGTAGCAAGCACAGCAACAAAAATGATACCGCATGGCACGTATATTTCCAGAAGAGAAACATCCACGTATATTATTGCTGTGTTAGTGCTATAGTTTGCGCAATATTCAATACCTGTTATTGAAACAGGTAAGAATCTTTTCATTCTGGCTTTAATTTTCCGAATATTCTGGGCCACAGAGACGGAAAGAAATGTGCTGACGCAGCGATTCTCTGTTGGAAAACAGGAACAGAAAAAACCGATACAGGAAAGGTGTTCTCTTTGTTGAACCAGCTCAAAAAGTGTCAAGCCCGCTGAACAAGGAAAATTCTCAGACATGATAAATGATGGGAATGAACTTAGTCAGTGAGCAGGGCTTATACAGATCATCAACCATAACAGAGTTTGTTGTATCGTCATTTCCATTGAGTTGACAGAAGCTACTTTTGATTCACACGCTGAGAATTCTAATGGCACAGTAGCATCATGTGAACGATATTCAGCCACAGAACCTCAGAAGCGAAGATCATGATATAGACAAATATGTAGGTGTAAACAGTTAGCGTGACAGAAGTTTACATGGACAGTGAACTAAAAAATCAGATTCTGTGGGCCCCGGTAGTGCAATATTTAGAGTTTCGTTTATAGATCTCATCATGCCAATGAAGGTAGCAAGTGCCTAAATCATCAACAGTTTGTTTCCCAAAGATTGCTCGAGTTGCCTGTATTGAGGAATGGGGTGTGAAAGCTTCATGTTCATACCCGTCTCCATGTATTGGTTTAACAGCAGCTTGATTAGTTTGCAGGTAGAAAACATCATGGTATCACCTATCACACACTAACGGTTCCTCGCAAAATGCGTCAAGATGTTATCAGTTCACATGCTTTCATTGGCTGGGTGGTCGTTGACCGAGGTGGTCGTCGCCGAGCATGGCAGTTAGCGTGCAAACGTTCCGTCACGAATGAACTAGGTATCATCACTGCGCGGTTCGATGGTTGTTTCTTCCTTATCTGCCTACGTTTATACAGTTTGCAAACGGATATTACTGGCTAATTGGTGTCTACCTTTCCCACAGAAAACCCGAGAAATAGGTTGGTTACGCGAAAGATACCCTTGTCATCGTGAAAAGTGAACTACAGCAAACAAGTCAGCTAACAAACGACATTTTTGTGGACATCCACTTTAAAGTGTAGGATGAAGATGGAAAAAAGCTAGCATCCCCGGACTTCCTCATCAAGTCATTGCCGATTGGACCACTACAACCACACAACCACTGACCCACCGCTACGCATCACTACGCTTCCCAATAACGCACTGATGATATCACCTCGATTAGTAATGAAACGTTTGTGGTCAAGCCAGCGACCACAAACCGGTCTATAGGACAAATTTTCAGTTGCTAAAACCCGCTGAAATTTCGCAATGTTTTCAAGCGGATTGAGGCGCACTACAAAACTAGGGAGTCCAGAGTCGGCGAATGAATATCTCAGACATTCCAGATGCTAAACTCTCAGAAAATCCACCCCAAGCAGTGAAACAGCATAGAGCAAAGACAAGCGGACAACACTCCCATGCACCAAAAAACTTTTCGAAAATGATTGCAAGATTGATATAGCATCATGAAATAAGTCTGACCACTAGACCTAGGAACAACAGACGAATAGCATTATCAAAATCAGGGGGAAAACTTGAAACACTTATAAAGACTGATGTTACATGAACTATTCGATGAAAGCATTGGGATTGGAACAAGCAAGAAGGAAGACTGTATGAACACAAACTTGAAACTGAGGCATGACCAATCCTCACTTATCTCGGTGCACGAAGGCCAATATGGCTACAAATTCGATTGCAGCGGAATTCACATACTGGCCACAGCAGAAATAAGAAAAGACAGCAAATTCGACGGAAAAATAACTTACATAACTATTGAAATTGACCCGATCCATCAGCCATTAAGGGCAAAAGTACGTCAAAACCACAGAATGCAAAGCTGTGCGGGAAACTGGAAAACTAAAACGAGAAGCACACGAACCGAAATCAAATGAATTATCCCATCTGACAAGAACACATATACGGTCACTATACTGAAGAACCAAACAAAATACAGGATAAAAACGAATTGACAAAGAAGAACACCTGGTTCGTCCATCAAAGAAAGTGAGGAGCAAAAGATATAAAACTACAGTAAACAAGAGTGCAACTTGTCAATAAAATCCAGGAAGTAAAGATGGCAACACAAGATAAGAACGTACCAATCAAATGGAACAAATTAGACTACTGAAGACAAGAGCTGTCATAATAACTGGTCAGATTCAAAATAATCCAAAAATAAGTGAAAGGATCAATCAGAACAAGAACCGAGACCATCAAAAAGGAGGTACCTAACCGATGAATAAAGAGGACACAAACCGAAGCGCAACACAAATTGCAAACATCTCACTAAGATTGGAAAAAGAGTACACAAAGATTAGCTGGCAAAATCAGCTGAAAATTATTTGAAGACACGAGCAGATAAGGAGTGGTTCACTCACCGGTTCACCGATGATGCCTCCTCAATCCGTGACGATGCGTCTGCAAGGTGATTGCCAA